CATTCATCACTGTTCTTTGACTACAATGCCCAGCATGCATTACACAAATACATCATAAATCCATTTAGAATCTATGTTCTATGTTAATTCTGACTGCCAGCCTAGGCTCTGACCTATAGACTCATAAATACAACCAAGCTAGCAGTTGAGAACCACTTACCTTGGTCATTGAACAAAATTGCAAAGATGTATAGAAAACAGTGCTTCTATATTTATTTAGCACAACACAAACATTTTTTACTCTTTTAGCCAGAGGACATAAGATATTCATTCCTAGTAGTAATGTTAGCTATCTAGCTTCCTTATACATACAAAAAATGCTAATGGGGGGGGGGCTTCTAGTTTTTCCCTTAATTCCAACCTTCAAAATGCATCATCAGATGGGGGTTCCCAGTTTAAAGTGGAAAAACTCAATCTAGATTTTAATGCACACTGTTGTAGGATGGGAGTAGACAGGAGAAGCCTGTTTACAACAGTGATTTTTGATTTTGGCCAGAGTGTCCCTTTAACTTCAACAGTGCTGCATGACTGTGAACAAATGACAATCCATGACTAATGTGATAGGCTAATATACATTACAGTTATACAAATAACTCCTCCCTATGAGCACACATAGGTCTATGCATCACTAAAATACTGTGTTAAAGTTTTATTTTTAGCTAAAGAGCAGTTAAATAATGAAGAATTCCAGAACGCACCCCCAACACTTCCACGTTCTGCACTCCTTTCTGAATAAGAGTCAACAAAAATGCTTTTAGCAACAGTGTGCTTGTTTAACATGTATCTTAAGAAATGGCAAGAAATAATGTGTTTCTTGCCAAATAGGCTATTCTTAAAACAGTAAGGCGGCCACCCGGGCCTGCTGTGATATTGCAGTTATGAGTCACATGGCCCTTTCTAGGCCAGTCCACAGCAAGCCCATAGCCTTGATTTGGGCATGCAGAGCCATGGCTTTGTGGCCATTCCTTCTGCTGGAGAACAGGAGAAAGTTTCCAATGTAAATTCTCCTATTGGCTTCCTAGTTTATCTTTATCTCAAAGTATTTTGGAACATCTGAAAAGCTCTGCATGGTTTGCTATTGCTTAGTTTTTTCAAGAGTGATTTTAGCAAATATTTGTTTACAGCTTACTGATGCTAAAACTAATGAACAGATGGCATGTATGTGCCATTCTTTAAAGAGGTAAAAAGTAGGATCAAGACTGTCACATGCTCTTAAGTAGTAAGTAGTAGCATGTTTACTAATATCATCATAATAAAATGCATAATGTCACTGTTACATATCGCATACTACGCATGAACCAACAGAAAATCTGAAAAGCAAATAATTATTTCTGTTCCCTATTAAATCACTGTTTTAGAGATACAAGATTTTCTCATGATAGTGACGATAAGTAAGTGACAGCACAGTTCAATATATGGACACAACTGCAATACAACTGGATGTAACTAAGATATCTTGAACAACTATTTATTCTGGTTCACATTCAGGGTCACTTGCTATTCTACCCCTCTAAACTGGCCGTCCCTTTGACTTCAGCTAGCAAACGTGTGAGAGTCCATCCCCAATTATCTGTTGTCCCGAATGCAAGTTTTGACCCACTTTAGACCTCTCAGTGTGATTTCTCTTCAGCCCCTATTGCATGACCACTCTCTCTGTGTCACCCGCCCAGGCCGGCCCGGGCCCAAGGACGCGGGTGCGGGTGCGGCCGCCCCGTGGTAATGGATGGGCTGCCAGTTGGCCCTGCTGGGCTCGTGGAGGGGCTGGAGCGGTTATATGGGCTTCTGCTGGAGCCTATTTACTGAGGTGATGAGCTCCAGACATCTCCCATTATTTATGAAGGGAGGCCACAGGAGCAGGCACAGGGGTCAGTGAACCCAGGTACACCCGACATTAATAAGAGCCTCACCCAGGCTGGAAAAGTGTGTGTGTACTGTATATGAGAGAGCAAGAGAGAGCAAGAGGGAGAGAAACTGGACAGAAGACAGAGAGGACATTAAATGAATTTTGGTCGCATTGCAGCAAGGTCAAACATATTTTCAAAGTAAATGTGCTACTTGCTGTTTGGTTGGTAAAAGCTTGTACAACTAATACATTAAATTGTATGTCTTAATGGAGGGCGTTGTGGCTATTCTGGTTACCTGTTACCATGCAATCCAAACCAGGATGATTAACCAGCGTTGCGCATATAGCACTGTGAAAATGGATGGGCTTACCAACAACCACATGATCAGTGAACCTTCCTAAAAGTCCTTGTAGCTATGTTCCATGTGTTTTGGACTATATGGAGCGTCTGGGGTGCAAAGAGCAAACGTGCCATTTGATAGATGAAAACTCTCCACACTTCAAATGGGTTTAAACCTTCATTGTTCGCTTTGTTGCCGTTCCTCTCCACACACACTAAGACAAATGGCTGCGCTGGGCAGCAGTCAGCTGGGGTTTGCAGACCCCGTATGATCCAAATGGACCTTTCACACACGCGGATAATAACAAGCGCTCCATTTCTTGCACCTTAAGACAAATTGGCTGCATTTAAAAGGGTTATGATTTGAAATGAAGTGCTCACAAAGACAGATAACAGCATCTCCCCAGCTGTGGACTTCTCTCTGGACAGTTCACTTTGGAGACAAAGGCTTGGCAGACTTGGTGCGTTTCAGGCAACTAAAGCACATTAAAAGCTGTGAAGAGAAATGTTTGTTGATATGGTGTAATATGTGGACTATTTTTATTATTTGATACACTAATCTGGGTGCAATTGGAATTTTACCACAGGAATTGCATTTTGCATTATTTGAACCTGCATGTACCTACACTGTATATAGTGGGTGTAATATATGTAGTTTTAAACATACATAACCGGTGTGGTGTTGGTACGAGGCACAGTGGTGTTGCTGGGGTTTTTATACAAGTGAACATGGCTGCTAGGTTGAGAGTGGTTTGCCAGCTCTGATGCAGGGCTAGATGATGGCCAACACAGAATGTGTATGGCAACAGAAGGTAGTCAGAGACCACCCTTCATTTATTTATTTTCCAGTCAAACATTTATTTTACAGCATCAGGAAAAAAACAGAAAATATATTTATCACAAAAAGTACACATAACCCTCACCTACTAAATAATTTCTTTTCCAATATTAAGCATGTACACTCTTTGTCTTTTCAGTGCACTTGCTTTAAGTTTTTTAAAAATTTGCAAGAATGTTTTTCAACACCTCTGAAGTTCAGGCTTAGACATTGGTTATATTTTCTGCTTCCCACAAACCAAGAACCCTCAAACACATTCACTTATGTTGAGGTTTGGGCTCTGGGGTGGCTAGTTCATTGTTCTGAGAACACCAGCAGCTTCTTTGTTTGATTTGCAATATTTTTCTTTCTTGGTTTTTTTCCTTTTCTTAGTAAAAGCTTCTTGACAGCTACATATTCTTTCAGACCCATGGTGTGGCATTGTCTTTTCTCATAAGATTCTCTCAAATCTGTAGATTAGATCAGAAGCAAGAGTGGAGACTCCTTTTGATTAAAGACAATAAGTATTAGTTATTATTATTATTAGTAGTAGTAGTAGTATTGTTTATCTGATGGTGACAGGTTTGGAGGGTCTACCAGATCTTGCGTGATTGTTAGAAGACCCATTTTCTCCTGTTTTTTCCACTTATTTTCCTTTGATTCCCCTTCCTTAAGTAACGGGATTATTTTATACCTACTCCCATCAGCAATATCTTCTAAAAAATAACTTGTGCTTAACAGCCATTTGACTACAAATTAAATAGAGTTGTCTCTGACTTTTGAAGTTTACTGCTTGCAATATATTAGTCAAACTGGTGAATCAATAATCATTTAAGAACTGACCCTCATTATTGTGACCAAAATTACAACTGTTAGATTACATGAATAAGTAGATTCATCAAAACACCCAAAGAAGCATTTATCTGGAATTGTGATTGGTGTAGATTGCCAGCACACATCACTGTGATGGGTTAGAGGTCATTTGCATTGTTGCCTTCTGCAATATCTGCATTACAAAAAACTTAAACAATTTATTCTGTAGCCCAACTGATTTTCCCCTAGAAAGTAACCTCTTGTGTGTTGGTTAACTCAGCTGAACTGATGTACTCATTTGGGCCCCGGTTTCCATTCTTATCTCTATTTATAGAGGCAACATCTGGTTCAGAACAGTGAAGACCTGGGCTGTGTGCTCTTGGGTGCTCTTTTCTGTCCACTCTTTAGAAAACAGTGACCATCCTAGCCAAACTTTTTGGCCTTGGAATAACAAAACTCACTGTATTATTAACACCCAACCTCTGTGACTTCCTTGAGTTAGCAGCATTTGCATTTTTATGACCTAGTTTTAGATAAATCTGAGATTTGATATGCAGTCTCCCCCCATGTGATTCACAAATTCTGACACATTTTGAATTGATCAGTTAAGACGGTGATGCCGTTCTTTATCACCAGTTGGCTGTGTCATGGTTGGTTGTACTGATAGGCTGTCTGTAAAGGAAGAGGGTGGTGCTGCCTGCACAATAATCATTTCCCTAAGGGTCTCTCTCTCTCTCTCTCTTTTACACACACATGCAAGTGTGCACACACACACAGACGCACACACGTGACGTTCTGCTCATCTAAATTAGGTCTAAAGCCAAGCCCTATGAACAATGTTTGTTTTCTTTCTAGTGCTATCTTATTCCAGGATTGCTAATCAAACAAGCCCTGGGCTATCGGAGGGGTAAACATCTGAGAAGCTGCTTGGCAGCCTTTCAACTCTCCGTGCTGCAGCCAGCGGATAAGAGACGCCTGGCAAGCTACTTATGCCGTCATTTAGGAAAACACTTCAAACCATTTGAATAAACTTCCCAGTTTGTTTTTAATGTAAAAAGAGCTACCCTTTCACCAAATAAATGGATAGCGAATATGTAGTCAACACACTGATACACTCCCAAATGTCGACCTTTTAAAAAATGCCACTGTGTTACTCCCATGTTCCCCATCTAATCACAGTTAAATACATTTGGAAATGACTGACTTGTGTGTCAAAGGAAGCCATCACTTTGCCGGCACATGCAGGTGAAAAAGAGACCTATTACAACAATGATTTCTTTCAGTCAACGTCCAGTTTGGACATAATGGGACTGCTGTAGCTCCTTTCACAGTTTGAGTCTCTCCTCCATGCCCAGGCAGGCTGAGGCCAGTGCAAAACTTTGCAATTTGTTTTTTACTTTGCAGCTAAAATCGACAGCTTCGCTCTTGTTTGCAGAGTGCTCCTGCTCCGTCAGAATGTAGCTGCAGGTTGTTGGGTCCACCTTGTTACCATGTGGGCAGTCCACTGGAGTGGAGCTTAGGTCCATAAGGTAAAGTCAAAAGTCACCTGCCTACACAGTCTGAGAGAGCGGTCGACCCTTCTTGGTGCTGAGAACTCGTTTCCGGAGCTCTGCAAATGACGGGAGCTTTATTTTGTCACTGTTTTTGCTGTAGACGTTGAGGAAGATCCCGAAGACAACGAGCAGGCCTCCCCACACATACCTACGCCAGACACAGTAACACCATGAGATCACAAAAACAATGAATATAACTACACAATAGACCCTGACTTACCAATTTATTATAATGAGCTACTGAGACGCAGTGTAACAAATACCCAAAAAGCAACTTCAGTATTTGAGTACTGGCACCTGGAACAGTTAATAAATTAGCTGTCTGCGATGGTACTAATCGGGTACACCAACCTTGCACCTATACTTACTGGACATTTTGTCAAGTGCACCTATTATATTGATGCACTTTGTAGATTTACAATTATTGACTGGAGCTTAATTGCTGCTGCACAATTTATCAGCCAGCCTCTACTCCACATATCAGTGTAAAGGGACCAGCACTGGCCCACTGCTGACCAGATATTATTATGGTAGCTGCATAGTAGGGGCAGCTGGTACAATCATATCAGGCACAGCAGTGTTCTTGGGGGTTTTGCACAGCTCAGGGTCACTGCTGAGTTGAGAACATTTTGACAGCCTAAAATATCCTGTCAACAGTGGCCCTGTGGTCAGAAACTGATCACACTGTGATCAGCTGATCAGATGAATGGCTAGAGAATGACTAACAAACTAAGCATGCAAAATAAATATGCTATAGTCTTTACCGTGCACCTCCAATGTGTTCTAACAAAATGGATAAATTATAAACAAAATTATAAAGTGGTCAGGAATTTGCTTTTAAAAACACACTGCTACACCTGAAACATTTGTACCAGCACAACACACACTAACATGCCTACGTTATGTTGTCATTGTTGTGCTGTGAACATCCCATCAAACAAACATCTTGTAAGCGGTGGACCAATGATCGTTTCATTTTATTGGTGGGCAGGGTGGACAACCGAGAAACTGTGCATAGCAACGAATGGGCTACAGTCTGTTACTGTATACCTTCAAAATGCAGCTATGTGGTAGATGTTGCTGATAAAATGGCAAATACGTGTATGTAAAAGGGAAGTGTACTTGAAAAAATAGCAGCAGGAATTCACAAGATACAACATGAATTCAGTGTATATTCCAGTCTGGAAAAATAAATTATATAAGGACAATAATTTTGTTTATATACTTTTAAAGGACCAAAAAGTCTAGCACAATTCAGTATTTATGTTCCACTTATGCTTGTTGCCAAGTGTGACTTTACTTTTTTATGCTAAATGATTAGTTTGTGTAGAATGAATGTGTTCTAGAGTGCTAACTTACTGAAAAGTGAATGGTTTTGTGAAGAATAAAAACGACAAGACGATCGTCATGGCCTTTCTTCCTGTTGTAACTAAAGGAAAAGAAAAGGAGGGAAAAAAATTCACCACTCCATCTGCTGCCATATTCAAAATTCAAATAGTCAAACCCAACAGAAACGGAGTGGGCAGTCTCACCTGTGACTGCGACCAGTGCTCCAAAGAGCTTTATCAAGGCCAGAACAAAAGAGATGCCAAAGTAGCCGGTCAGAGAGAAGAAGAACGCATAACCGTATGTAGTCACCGGATGCTGTCACAGAGAGAACAAGATTTTGAGACAAAAAAACTACCACAAGTCTCATTTGCAAATGGCCTTTTATATATAAAACACTCATGAAGCACTTTGTTTATTTAACACACAGTGTATTTTATTTTACAGTTTTTTACTACTGTACTCCTTAAACCTACCTGAGCACAGAAGGTCACAGCAGGTCCCAGTCCCCCAATACACAGAAGTCCCAGCAGAATATATACAAACCCAATAGAGTAGGAATATAATACCTAAAAACAAGAAAGGCAAAAAAAAAAACATCACAAACATGCTGCAAAGCTGGTCTATAGAGAGAAGGTACCAGGGTAATACTGAAATAGATAAAATGACTGCTGTTCAAGAGAATAAAGATTATCTCGTATCCATTCTGACAAGTTGTAAAAACCTTTTTTTTTTGTTTACCATTTCTGAGTTGGATCCGTTGTGCAGTTTCATGGCTTTTTCCTGCACATTTCCAATAGCAGCATCAGCACAAAGCGCCAGGGAAATAAGGATAACTCCTGACAGAATTGGAAACAACATACACATTTAAAAAACACAGATACACAAACAAAAAAATCTCTCTTTTTTACCTCCAACAGCTAGAAAGACTACTAGGACCCATTAACGTTGCAGCTGATGTCTAAAACTCATACATCCCACCACACAAACTAACGGTATGTGCCCACTTCCAGCAGATTTTTAATTTAGGCAAATAGGTCCACCCAGCGTACTGCTTTTAAAGTGGTCTTCGTTCCACATGCCAAACATTAAACTTTCTCCAAACTTTCTCCAAACAAAAAAGGTGAAACAATGGCTCTCTCTTTACTGAATCCAAGACATTTAAACACTATAATGAAAATATCTGGTTTTATGCATAACTGTTAACAGTGAAGATCTGGAAGGAAGATGTTTTGGATAAAGTTTAAATAGTTCAAGCGGAGCAAATTTAAATCATACAGCGCTCAAAGGCTATGTTTGCGCTGCAAGTAAAGTAAAATCTTTTTCTTCACATGATGCAGATTTGTTCTTTGTGTGGCACAGTGAGCAAAGTAAATCTGATACTGTAAAATCTGTTTTGGGCCACTTTCATATGTGGTATTGAAATTGAAATGTCACTTGTGAGAATAGCCAGATTGGAATTCATGTGACCTTTACATCAATCCAACTCAATTTTCTTCATAATTTCGCAACCATTTATGGTAATGATATCAAAACATCTGTTACTACAGTTACATTTCATTTCATTTTGGAGGATGACCTAGGCAGGTGCAGTTGTTTTAGTGTCTGCTGTTTGTCCTACAAGTTTAAAACAGGAGTTTGCATACAAAGTTTGATGTCTTGTGATAGCAGTCTGTTATTTTAAAGGAAATATAGAGGACACCTGTGTTTACTAGATGAGCATGCCGGGTGGGTCGGCGTTCATGCGGGTCAGTTTATGAGCATGATGTGTTCAGAGTGATGTCAGACATAGGTCACATTAAAAAGATAAATGGGAACAACCAAATAAAATCAGATTTGGGCAGTTAATCTTTTCACTTTGCAGTCCGAATGTAGCCTAAGGTTACTTGCTAATTTAGCAAGCTTGTAAGCTTCTCTGTAACATTAAAACAAATAAAGAACAAACAGCATATTAGATTGTTTACTGCTCCAATATGTTCGATAACAGAAATAATACAGAAATGCCCACCAGCCGCGAGCAGAGAGATCCAATGCAGTGGAATAAAGCAAGAAAAAAGTGGGAGTGGACCCATACTGTAATTACAAATAATCAATGAAAGAAGAATTTTAATGATCAGTTTAGTTAACATGACTTTATGTATAAATTGCTACTTACACTTAACAAAATTCTTTCAAGCGAAACTTTACTACACTGCGGATTAAACAAGAGCATGTTACCTGTCACATTAAAATTTGGGGCAACCTTGCTGTCAGCCAGTGTGAACCAGATGAGGCCCAGACTCATGCACAGAGCAGCTGACACATCGGCAATGTTGTACCGTTTTCCTGCAACACAAACCATTGCTGTTCAACAGTGAACAAAAATCAGGCCCTCCCACCCCAAAAAAAAAATCCTCACTTTACTATCTTTCAGGCAAGTGAAAAATAGAAAATAATGAGTGATTATCACTTCCAGTTGGACAGAAATGTGATTGTTTTGGCACCTGTCAACTCAATGAGATCACAAAGGCCTTTCAAAGCTGCTACTGAGTATCAGCCACAGGCAGGGCTCGATTCTAACTGCTGAACATCTTTAAGAAGCTACTTGTGATGCCCCATGAGGCTTTTGTGTTGTGGTCAGGTAGAGATGGAGTGATTGTAGGGGGGAAGAGCCAGTGAAGCTTCAGAACTTCAGATCAGCGTGGCAGAGAGCAGCTGCCATGACACTGGCTCCAGGTCGGCTCTGCAGAGCTCTTTGAACAAGTTCAGCCATGGTGAGAGGATGCCTTCATCAGTTTAACAACTGAGCAAGAGAGAGGGAGACTGAGAGGAAAAGGGGCTTTCTTCCTCTCTTTGCTGGACTCTTCAACTCAATCATAACGCAAAAGGAGACTGAGAGAGAAAGATGGAGAAGGTCCAGGACGTTTTGAGGTTGGATGTGTGAAAAAATGTAGCGAGGGAGGCAGAAAAGAACACATAAAAAGAGAGAGAGAGTACAGCATTAGTGAACCTGAGAGAGAAAGACAGAGAGAGAGAGATACAAATAAAGAGAGTCGAGTCTTCCCAAGCAGTCTGTTGCCGTGGGGATGACAAGGTGACGCAGCAGGTTGGTCTGTAACTCTTTGATTCTGCAATGCTTTGATGGACTAGCATCCTGCATGCATCCCGAACCAATACATCAGCCCCAGGGGACCAAAGGGCCGCAACGCCAAGAAAGAACCAAAGAAAAATATCCCTATCAATTCTTGTGATCAGTGGGATGGGAAACCTTGAGAAGATGATGGAGAGATAAAAGGAGGGAGGCTGAACCCTCGCTCACTCGTTTTCTTGCTTTCTCTCTTTGAAAGGCCCAACAGTTGCATCAGAAAAGTGAAAAGAGAAAGTTCCTAAAAAGGCTGGACAATGGTCATGGCTCTAAATGAAGAAGAGTAAAAAAGGCAGGGCAAGATTTGTTTATAGGAATTGAATACAAAAGCAAAATGAAAGGTCATAAAAACGTTTTTCCATTTGCACCAATTAGAATTCAGTCAGATTATGGAGTTCTGTACAAATGTCTCAGGCCACCACAATTTATTTCAGCAGCAGGTGTGCTTTTGCTTGTTTTTGTACACAGGTTCCATCCCGTATCTAACTGTATATCTACAAGGTCTAATACAGGACAGTAAGGGTACACAGTTGTTAAAAACTCCAGCAACACTTCTGTGACTGACACACTTGTACCAGCAAATATCTGGTGATACTGATATGACTCCTATATCATTGTGCATTCCTAATTGTTATACTTGTTATTCTCTGTCTTGGGTTATGTAGGCCTACTGTATGTTGGGATAGTGGATGTTTTTTCCATAATAAGAAAAAAAGACAAACAAGTGATGTAAAACTCTAAAAATACAATTTCTCCTGACCTTTTAAAATGTATTTAGAATTATGAACAGATATATTGTTGAGATTTAAAAATGTTCCTAGAAAATAAATAGATGTGTGGGTTTGGCACAGAGACTAAATAACAGGCAGTAGGTACTAAAACGTACTGGTTAGCTGAACCAGGTTTTGGATCATAACTATACATGCAAGACTATGCTGTATGAAAATGGTTAACACACTGATGGACATCAAATTACAATTTATTGTATTAATGTTCATTTTGTATTAACTATCTAAGGTTAGTTACTGCTAGAACAAATAGCTTTAAACATACAATGCTTGCAACACTCAACAACTTCTCAATGTAATTAAAATGACTCTGTTATTACATAAAACGTCTTTATTTTATCTCAGAACAATTAATTGAATACTAATCTGAGCTCAGACAGCACAATTTAAACTATCATCATTCAAGTGTTCATCTGCATACTGCTAGCTTTCCCATTATCTCAATACAACAGCCAATATTGTGAGAAAGGTTAACAAATAATATATTCAGCAGCCCTAGTGGCTATTTTCCACAAACTTCCATTTTGTTATTTACCTTGTATGAAAACCCCACCGATCATAACAGGAATGAGTTTGCAGCACTTGAAGATGACTTGAGTCGGATAGTTCAAGTATCCCAGTGATGTGTTGGAAAGGCCCATGGTCCCAACTGTTAGAAATGCTATGATCATATATGTTTTGCCTGGGATCCTGAAAGAGTGATTTGAAAGAAAACAAAATGTCTTAGAACACAGATATAAACCTTTAACAGGTTGCCTGTTAATATGCACCTTATTCTCTACATACCCTTTGTACCCTGTATGTCCAAAAGATAATATCTAATTAGTGAATTCAGCTACTCTGGAGAAGCAACATGTAAGCCTAAGTTCACGATGCCCAATGCCAAGCACTGGCTAAATGGGCCAAAATAAAAACCAAGAACAACCAAAAAAAATAGTTGTGTTCTCTGGACTGACCAAGCACCACTGGATACCTGTATGAAGAGTTGGGAGTGCCAGAACTGATCATTAAACATCAGTACCTGACCTCACTAACGCTCTTGTGGCTGAATGCAGTCAAATCCTCATAGAAATGTTCCAACATCTGTGGAACATGCTGTGTTTAATTGGTCTCGGTTTTATAGGAAAAAACAAGTTTCTCAACAGAAGTCATCATATAAATGCCCTTCAAATTTGGATGGGGAAGCTAACTACATCAAAATTTTCGATGCAGCATGAGTTGGCTGATGTGACATCAGCACTATTTTTGTCATGGCTGGATAGAAGGGAACAGTTAAAGTATGGAAGGCAATCATATGAACTGTATAAATATAATAAATGGTAATGGTGAAGTACATTTAAAGCATATGCATTTTTCATTTTCGTTTTGTATGAGTTCAAAACCATCAGTAAAATAGGCCAAAACTGACAGAAGCATCTCTTAAATAAACCACAGTACACAGTACAAGAACCTTTTTGGAGAAAATTATGGCTCCACTTGCATGTGACAGCAGCATAAAGCCTTCCTACAAGAGTAAGATGTTACTGCTGCAAAGAGAGTGGGGACAATTAACACCCTTGATTTCAGAAGAAATTAATGAGCAGGTGTCTACAAACTTTTGGACATACAGTGTATGTGAGAAGCACTTCCTCTTTAAGTCAGACTGTATATTTACCACCCACCTCCTCCTCTTGTCCTGCGTAAGCTGCAGCTCTACCAGGCCAAACATGGAGTAGAACCCAAACTGAACAAGAGTGAGGTACCAGCCAAAAGGTTTGAAGCCTTCTAAAGAAAAGATCAGCTCCTACAGAGAAAAAGAGTGGGAGATTTGGGGAACATAAAGAAGAATATAAATCAGGTACATCAACCTGGAAGGCCACAGCACCTCAGGGTGGCGCTGTAGCAAACTGGTTCACCAATTCCTTGGCTCTAGTAACTGTAACTATGCTCAGGAATAGTTTTACAATATACCACAGCATATCTGCAAATCAAATATTGTTATCAACAGATTACTGCTTTAGAAACAGAATAACTGGCATCTGACATTTGACAAATATTTCAAACCAATATTTAATGACTTATATACTGTACTCTGCAAAGAACATTTTGGTGACACTGACCTACTACACTAAAATGTCTACCTTTTATTCATTTTACTGCATTTCTAACCCTACAGAAATGAAGATTTCTCCAAAAATCAGGTAGATACAGTCCCAGTGGTTTACAAACATTTATTTTTCCGCATCGGCTTTGGCAAATGTACAGGAAAAATATCAGATAGCAGAATCTGCCCAAAATACTGGAGCATGCCTAGGTAATTTACATGCATATTTTCCCTTAACTCTCCCCTGGGCACTTTTGAGGGAATGTTTGGTGCACCTGATAGATGATTTATACCACAGTATATAGCACATAAAACTGGTAACCATTGCTGTTGGTGGGTGAAAAGAGATCCATACCTGCAAGTACCCATAGATGAGGTAAAAGAGGAAGACTCCTGCCACACAGATGAAGAACTGTGTCGGAGTGTTAAAACTGCTCAGATTGACCCCCAGCACTCTGAGTTCCTCCACAGATTTGATGTGTGGGGACATCGCCTCCGTTGAGGAGGGGATGGATATGGAGATGTGTTTCCGGGAGTTGTAGTTGATTAAGCCAAATTTTGAACTCATCTTGTCTGTGGGATTCTGTGGATTTGGAGGAGATGCAATTATCAGTATCAAGACATGCCTTCAATACATAATGAATGTAAACATTCTAAGTGCAGTTTCCAGCTGCAGTCCTGGGGACCCACTGCCCTGCACAGTTTCAAGTATTCCTACCCCCAACACACCTGATCCAGCTCACAAGTTCAAGAGTTGGATAAGATGTACTGGGGCAGTGAGCCCTTCTCTCTGAAAATCGATGCTAACACTCATACAAAGGAACATTTAACTAAAGCTGCAGTCAAGAGGCTTACTTTCACATTTGAAGCAAAATAATGTATTTATTTATGTAATGTCTCTCATATTAAATGTTCAGATTAGCCTACCCCGGAGTGTTATAGCTTTAAAGATATGGGATAATAACTCTGATTTCAACAAGAGAGTTCACCATTACCAGATCAGTGTAACTACTTAAACAATGTAATGCAATCTAATCCATTACGAACAACAAAGGTCTCAAACGGCACACTAAACTCACATAAAATCCGTGTCATGTGGCACTTCATTATCTACTTAATAAAATCTTAGGAATATATCAGTTAAATGTCACATATGAAGCATACTGCAACGAAATGCAAATGCAGTTACGCAATCTTATGTCATAGTGCTTACTACAACAGACATTGTCACAAAGCAGGTCATACCTTAATGTATTATTATTAGTAGTAGTAGTAGTAGTAAATATAAATATTAGTGAGCTGAAAATGACAATTGCGGGAAAAACTTCCTAAAAGCAGTAGGAAGAATGAGTTTAATGAGTTTTACGGTTTTTACTCTCTGCTGATAACTGTTGCCTAAGGCTTATATTCCAGTGCAAAGCACGGCACATTTATGCCTTTGTTTTTTTTTGCTATAAAAGACACTATCAGACCACACAGGTCGAGCTTACCTGAACTAAAGACAGAAGGGAAATGCAGACAGTGAATCCGTGGAAGGCATCAGAGGGCTGAACACACCTCTGCTATGACAATATTAAATGGCCTGTAAGGCACTTAATAAGCCAGCCGGGAATATAACAATGCCCAAACATATTTATCCCCGTTTAAATTAAACAAAGCACAAAGGAGACTGCTAACTAAGCGTCTCCAAAAGTGACAAACATGCCACCGCATGACACGAGGAGAGAAACATTTAACCTGCTGGAGTAAAAGACGACGAGCTAACGGCTAACCGGCTACAAGGCTAAAACAAATTTCCGGTAGCAGGAGCAGCGAACCCTTTTCGCTTAGTTTAACACGGCAGTCTAAGTGCCATCTACAGCACTCCGTTTTCAGGGACTCTAAAGCATGCTTTCCGAAGTCTGAATGGCTTGTTTCGCGTTTCCGGAGCTGCTATTCCTCATTATTTCGCCATTATTTGGCTTGTGTGCTAAAGCAGCCAACGACTTCCTCTGGGTGAGAACTCTGACCTGTAACACGCGGCGCTGCGCTGCTATTGGTCCGACTGAAATGACGCGATGAACACTGAGGTGATTGACGTTAACTTTTACTTCTCAAATTTATTCTCATTGAATAATCTTATTCATAATCCACATTCATTATCGTCATCATCTGCTGAAATGTGTCTAAACACACAGCAAACGAACCTAAATAATGGTCTGTTCACGAGTTACATCTTTGACGCATGTGTTCTGAATAGCATGAGACTAGCTTGAAACAGTGCATAACGTACATGTAATGCTCTGTATGCTACATTGTTCTTCATAGTTCTGAATAAATGACAAGCCTGAAACAATGTATAGAAAAGATCTTCATACCTGATTTATTTCGCTGCGTGGTTCCATTTCGTTGTTTAACTTAACTGGTGATTTGCCTAGACAGTATGGGTTGTTGGGGCATTTGTTTATTTAAAAAAAAAGGTCTGCAGTGGAGCCTGTTTGTCCTGTTCGTCTATTATCATATGACGTCTATTGTTACAGTACCTGTCATAAGTGTGGACATACCCGAATGAATGTATGTTTTCCGTAGTGTTTCCTAAAAAATAAAAATGTGGAAAAAAAAATGTAAAAAATATGAATAAATTGAGTAGGTGTGTCAAAACTTTGGGCTGGTGAATTCAATATGTGTATACAAACTTTAGGCTTCTAAATGTAAAACGGCTGCAATTCTGTCAAGTGTAAGAATCCAAAATCTGTGTATATTAAAATTAGGAGTAAGCCAAAATCGATTGATCAACTTTTTAGCTGCAGTAAAACCAGAGAATAGCATTCTAAGTCGATTAAATGTAAAAATTTCACCATTATTCAGTAAACAGAGAGCCGGGTTTGGAAAATGATCAAGATTTAACACTTTCATTAGAGTGGCATGAACAAATTTTGGTTCACATTCCCAGAACATATGTAAAAATGTGATATTGTGATATATATATATATATACATGTGATATATATACATTGGCAGTAGAATGGGTCATACTGAACGTGGCACTTTCATAGGATGCCACTTTTGCCACAGGTCAGCTCATGACATTTCTACCCTGCTAGATCTGCCCCAGTCAACTCTAAGTGTTATTATTGTGAAATGGAAGTGTCTTTGAGCAGCAACAGCTCAGCCATGAAGTGATACGCCACACAAACTGAACTGTTCATTTGGAGCTTCATGTAATGGGTTTTCATGGGTGAGCAGCTGCACTCCAGCCTAAGATCACTATGTGCAATGCTAAGTGTTGGCCAGAGTTGTGTAAAATGCATTGCCACTGGACTCTGGAGTGTCTCTGGAGTGATGAATCAGTCTGGTAGATGAATCTGGATTTGGCGGATGACAGGCGAACGCTACCTACCAGAATTCATAGATGTCATACACGCACACACACACACACACACAACACACACACACACACACAAACACATTTTCTAAGCCGCTTATCCTTCTGGGTCGCGGGGAGGAGCTGGAGCCTATCCCAGCGGTCATTGGGCGTAAGGCAGGATACACCCTAGATGTCATACAAATACTAAGTGGGCAGTTGTGGACTGGAGGTTAGGGAACCAGCCTTGTGACTGGAAGATTGCTGTTTTGATCCTCTTGGCCGACAGTATGTGACTGAAGTGCCCTTGAGCAAGGCACCTAACCCCCAAATGCTCCCTGGGCACCCTGGATAGGGCTGCCCACCACTCCGGGCAAGTGTGCTCACTGCCCCCTAGTGTGTGTGTTTACTAGTGTGGCTGTTTCACTGCATGGATGGGTTAAATGCAGAGGTCTAATTCCTCTGTGTGCAAACACAGTTGGCTAATGGTTCTGAATTCATTCATTGCTAAATTTCCTTTGGGATTAATAAAGTATCTATCTAAATATTTTAATTTTATTGTGCTGATTGCTGTTCTACTTTGTGGTCAAAAATAACATTACCATGTTTGACACTGTCTCTTTTCTCATTTATTTTGATGAATATATTTTTATGCATTTGGGTTGGAAAGCTCAACTGATTCAACCAATATAGAGTTATATTAAATTAAATGTGTTTGCACTGATTTACCACACCTTTTAGCAACTGTTAAAACTGGCCCCTCTGTTTGTTAAAATTAGCCACACTTATGGTGTCAGTTGTTTTCCCTCTTTACTCTCAGAAAGTTTCACAAATGATATGGGCAAGAAACAGAGTTTAAATTTTCATTTGGAGCAGAGATGCTGAGTGTAGTTTATAAAAAAAATTAATAATCTTGTTCAAATCATTTAAAAAATATTTAGCAAAAAGACTAAGTGTGTTGGTTTGTGCCCCGTTTTCCCGTAACAATGGCGCCCAGAAGAAAGATCTGTAAGATAAGCCAATGACCAGGGTTAAAACTCTGTCTGAAAATTCTGCAAACTATCTACTATTTTTGCAAATTTAATGACTCTATGGCCAAAGCCAAGACCAGATGTTTTACTGTTATACTGACCAATCTCCAGTATAAGGGAGAAGAGGGAGGTGAAGGCTATTCCTCCCCCCTCTCTCTTTCTCTAGCTCTCTCTTTCTCTCTCTCTCTGCCCATTCATTTCCTCTCCCATCCACGGTAGATGACAGGGGCCTTCTCCATCCGTGGCGAGAGGTTAATTCGCTCACGGATGGCATTATTCCCTCCCAGCCCCTTTCCCAATATAAAAATTCAGAGTGGACAGACCCATCCTTCATCCATCTCAGATTTGATTGGAGTGGTATTGCCTCCTGTCCCGCTGAGCCCCGCTGCCAGAGCGGCCCAGCTTTATGACACTAAATAGCCAGGCTACAATTTTTCCATCTATTCAAAAAATACTCTTAATAACTCATTCCTGTGAATGAGAGCCCTCAGTCTTCACACCCTGCCATGGACAGGCCCGTCCTGCGCGTGTTTATGCGGGGTCACTGAGATAGAGACCTGGAAATGTCCAGAAAGCAGAGGGGGTTAATTAATCTTGGTGAATTTACTGTTCTTTCTCGGCCAGCCAGCTCGCCGAATCATAGTCCCTGAGAGACACCTGTGCCATATTTACAGCCGGCTAATAGTATTCTGCAATGCACAGAGCTGTTTACATGCACACAGCACTTTTTCCCAGCCAACTTTAAAAGTGAACTGATTCATCAACAGTGATGGATTTGTGGAATGAATTTTACCTTTCCTGCCCCCCTTGTTCATGAGATACTAAATAATGAAATGAATATTTATTGATTATTCAGGAAGGTACATATTCTCATAATGGTCACACCACCGGACCGCATGGCCGCTGATAAATAAAACATCGAATGGGGAGTGGAATGCAATGGCTTCTGAAGCAGCCCAATCTGGATCCAATAAGGCCTTCTTGCATGGTGAATCAGGGAGAATGCTAAATCTTCTGGGATGCTTCAGTGGTTGACTGATCCCACGCATGGAGCTGATTACAATCCATATCCACCGATTGTCTGTTTCAGTAGCAAAAGATGAGTTACTTTGGAAAGAATATAAAGAATTGAAAGAGCTACACATGCATCAACAAGAACTACACTGGCATTTTATCAACATGTCTTATCAGAGAAGTTTGAAATGATAATCAAAAACAAGATGGCTGCTGATGTCCTAGTGGGAGGAGCTACAATCCGCAAATTATTTATATTTGACTTAAGCATAATGTAAATCATAGATTAAAGGAATACTCTGGCCAAAATGAAAAAAATGCTCCTTATATTGTAAAAATGCATACTCACCTCCTACAGAGTTGCCACTTTATTCCAGAAAGTGAGATTTCCCAAGTTTAAAGACTAGGAAAAACCCCTTCTGATGATGTGCCTTGAAAGTGCTTGAAGTACTTTGGGGCAGATATTAGAGGATGGGCTGTTTAAAATGTGTTTTTTTTTTAACTGGCTAACTCACGAGGAAACAAAATATTTAGTGCTACTACTAGAAAACCAAATAGCATGTCTGTTTTTGCTAGCCTCTACATCAGTGCATTTCTTTATTGGTTTTAACTTTAGCTGGAGTGTGATATGCTAACCTGCTAAAGGCTGAACAAATTTTATTTAATTTTATTTAAATGCACTGATTTTAATGACTGTTTTGCCAGCATATTTTCCATATAGACAGTATAGACTGGAGAGTGAATAATAACTTTTGAAACTTTAACACTGTTTACATACTACATTAAACCTCATTTTAACAAACCAAGAAAGATTTCTTTTTTCAATACTATAGTCTCTTTAAATGCTAGTTTAAAGCAGGAATGCCTCTAATACCACAATTACAAGGTGCAGAATTTGCCTCTCCATGGTTTGCCACAAATGTGTTTCACAACTGTTCACAACTGTTGCTGGGTTGACAAAGATGTACAGAATGCTGGCAGAAGTCCCATTCAACCTAATGAGAATGTTTGTGTCAAAACACCTCAATTTAGTGTGCCATTATGATATAAAAGTGACTTAAAATGATTTTAAATTCTTTTGCTTTGAGTAACCCAGTGTCTTAATTGTATTTATTTTATTTTGTCACTAGCAACACAATAATACTTCACTGAAACTTTACCAAATGTTGCAGAAGTGACAATTTTAGGTAATTTTGAGCCTAATTCAAAAACTCTAGCAAGTTCATGACTAGCAAACACAGCTTTGAAAAGCTGTGCACACATAAAATCATAACATTTTCATTACAATACAAAAAAGAAAATTTGAGTTTTAATCATGACAGGTTACACACTGATTTTCATACATTTTTTTCAAAACAATGGGATCTAAGTGATAACTGCGTTCTTACTTACTAGGCTCTGCCTGTGGACTAAAACTTGGACTAAAATTTTTTTTAGTTAAAATATTAAACTCATGATTTAAACTTTATTTTAAAAGAAAAAGATTAATAAAAACGTGAAAGTAAATATTATTTTCCGAAGTTTGGGACAACCACCTCCCAATAAAAATTGCCCTCTAACTGATGATTTTGTATATCTTTAGGTTAATACAACTTTCATTAATACATTGGATTT